AGCTGAGGACAGAGTGGAGAGGGCGCATGTGAGGGAGAAGCTGAGGACAGAGTGGAGAGGGCGCATGTGAGGGAGCAGCTGAGGACAGAGTGGAGAGGGTGCATGGGAGGGAGCAGCTGAGGACAGAGTGGAGAGGGTGCATGGGAGGGAGAAGCTGAGGACAGAGTGGAGAGGGCGCATGTGAGGGAGAAGGTGAGGACAGAGCGGAGAGGGCGCATGTGAGGGAGCAGCTGAGGACAGAGTGGAGAGGGTGCATGGGAGGGAGAAGCTGAGGACAGAGTGGAGAGGGCGCATGTGAGGGAGAAGCTGAGGACAGAGCGGAGAGGGCGCATGTGAGGGAGCAGCTGAGGACAGAGTGGAGAGGGCGCATGTGAGGGAGAAGCTGCAGGGAAAACTGCAGTGGAAGGTCTTGGGAAAGTAGTGGAAATGGCCTGCACCTGATTGGACGATGCCGATGCACAGCAACAAGCGTGGAGCACAAACACCGCAAAGGACCCAGCAGCCTGTTCTGGCGAGCAAGGTGAGGTCGACCGCCCTGGCCCACAACACCGTTACAGCTGGAGGGAGAGCCTAGGAGACTGCACCGTGTTTGAGTCCGGCCAGGGATGCTCAGAGGAGCTGGGCGACTGCTCACGCAGAGCGGGGAAAAAGTGGTGTGCTTGCCTCTCTACTTCTTTCCACACCAGCACCCTGTTTCTAGCTGCGAGAAGGCCAGCACCATTCTGGACATAAACAGGTAGCAGCTGCACCAGCTCTGCTGTGTGCACTCAGCAGGTAGTGGGGACTGTTGGCAGCGGCTGCCACAGCAGTTCAAGTCAGCCGGTGGGGTCTGACCCACCTTGTCATCAGGGCAACAACACCAGCCCCACTGTGCCACTTGGCAATGCGTGGGGACGGGGAGCCATCCCCACTGAAAGGAAGTGCTGCCCATGGGGACTGTTGTACCCGCCAGCACAATTGTGAAGGAACCACAGGCCTGTGATCCGGGGATGTTACCAGAGGGGAAAATCCATATTCCCCACAGACTTTGAGTCTGGCTGAGGGGATCTGCCTCAACCTGCCCAAGCAAAACACACATGGGCAGTGGCTCTGAGAACCTCTCAGTCTCTCTGTGGGTGAGACAGGTCAGTAGGATGGAGTGGACTCTCTTGCACTTCTTGACTGTGGGAACCCTGTGTGTTGAGACCGTGGAAACACTGTGACTACATGAGAAAGGGCAGGATGTAGCTGGGGTTTCTGGGCAAGCTGTGGGTGCAGAGCCACACTCACAACTCCTTGGTTGCCAGGACAGCTCATTGCAGCTGAAACTGTGCTCACAGGGAGGCCTGCACAGATGATTCACGTAGATGAGTGCTGAACACACTGGGGACTAACACCAGGGCATCGCTCAGCTTAAAGAAGAGGAGGTGATGGAGTGATCACACCAGCAGACATAAACGACCATACCCCCTTCTGTTGATAAGAGGAGAGCTACCAGCACCAACTTGCGTGTCACCTTGGATATTTGCTCCACCCTGGAGCCCTGACAGAGCTCCCTGGACATACCTACCACACACCTCTTGGTATTCACTGAAAGCACAGATATTCCACTAAGCCACAGAGACACCGCTCAAAAATAAAAGCCATGGGGGTGGGGGACAACAAAAATTAACTCCATAAATGCCTAAAAACAAATGCAGAAATTCAAGAAACAAGAATAAGGAAGACACCATGAGCCCCCCACCCAGCAAAGGAACACAATAAAATTTCAATATTAGAATGTGAAGGTGAAGAGACAGATGAAATGCTGGAAATGGATTACTCAAAAGCAGTCAGAAGCAAATCGACAAGCTAAAGAAAAGCATATGTGACATGAGTGAAAATTTTTCCCATGGAATTGAGATTTTAAACAGAAATCAAAATGAAATATTAGAAATAAAGAAATCAGTAGATAAAATAAAAAATGCAGTGGAAAGCCTCTACAGCAGACTCAGTGAGGCAGAAGAAAGAATATCCAAGCTAGAAGATAAATCTTTGGAAAACTTACAGTCAGACCAAAAATAAAAATTAAAAAAAGAAAATGGAAAACTTAAGTGTTGGAGATTTATAGGATGCTATCAAACAACCCAACATACTTGTCTTACGAGTTTCTGAAAGTGTGGAAACAGAGAATGGGCCAGCAGGCCTATTTAGTGAAATGATTACAGAAAACTCCCCCAATTTGGAGAAATAAAGGGACATCCCAGTAAACACATAGAACTCCTAACAGACATGACCAGAAAAGATCTTCACCACTTCACATTGTAGTCAAACTCCACAATAAAACAGAAAGAAAAGATTCTGAAGTGTGCACAGGAGAAACTTCAGATTACTTTCAGAGGATCTCCAATTAGACTTAACAGCTAATTGCTCATCAGAAAGTCTACAGGCTAGAAGGGAATGGCGAGATATATTCCAGGTCTTAAGAGAAAAATCTTGTCAACCCAGAATACTGTACCCTGCAAGCTCTCATTTATGAATGAAAATGAAATAAAGACCTTCCATAACAAACAGAAACTGTAAGAATTTGTTGCCACTCATCCAGCCCTACAAAAGATGTGTACAGATGTGCTACACACAGAAACACAAAAACACAGCCATCATTATGAAAGAATGACAAGGCAGAAGATCCCCTGGTAGAAGTACAGAAGAAATCCAAAGAAAACAATAGGAATATTAATGGGAAAATGGCCGGGCCAAGTCGTTACTTGCCTCAACTTCACAAAATTAACCTCTGTACTATTTTCTATAAACATTATAGTTTCAGTTTTCATGTTTTGGTTTCATAATCTACCTTTTTTTTTTTTACTTGGATATGATATAAGGTATCCATTTGATTTTTTTTCCATGTGACTACTCAGTACTTTCAGTACCATTTATTGAAGTGTGTCTTATCCAATGATATGCACTATCACCTTTGTCATGAATCTGGAGTCTTTGTATGCATTAGTCTGTTTCTGGGCTCCTGTTTTCCATTGCTTTCTATTCATGTACCCAAGCTAACAACATACTGCTTTATTATAGTAGCTTTATAAGAGCATGAATATATGTTAGAGAAAATATTCCTCCCTTATTCTTCCCTAAGAGCATTTCCCAGCTCCTGGTTTATGTTGGTATGTCTGTGTGTCTATAATTTGATGAGGGATTGTTTAGTTTTCCCTCCCATCGACTTTGCCCCTTCCTGGGAGATTCTCACCAATGCCAGTAATAACAACCAATGTGTTTTAACCTGGGCAATCATATCCTCCAGATTTTTCATTCATGGGTCTTGAGGACTGTTTTCCACAAGCAGGTCTATCAGTTTCCACAATGACTGACCAGGCTGCCAAAATGAGTCTTTCACCTTGAATATTTTGATTCACTTCCCAGAAAGCCACAGCAGAAACTTGACTTTATGCCCAATTTGCTGTGACAGTTTGTATGCAATTAAGCACAAATGTGGCCGGCGCCGCGGCTCACTAGGCTAATCCTCCGCCTTGCGGCGCCGAGACACCAGGTTCTAGTCCCGGTCAGGGCGCCGGATTCTGTCCCGGTTTCCCCTCTTCCAGGCCAGCTCTCTGCTGTGGCCAGGGAGTGCAGTGGAGGATGGCCCAAGTACTTGGGCCCTGCACCCCATGGGACACCAGGAGAAGTACTTGGCTCCTGCCATCGGATCAGCGTGGTGCGGTGGCCATTGGAGGGTGAACCAGCGGCAAAGGAAGACCTTTCTCTCTGTCTCTCTCTCTCACTGTCTAACTCTGCCTGTCGAAACGGAATAACAAGTCAGAGAAATCCTAAAAGATATGCTCAATGGCCCAAGGCCAAGCAGAATTCACGTAGAGCCTGGAGTACTAAGCATTGGGGGAAACTCACAGAAACTGAGTAATACCAGATACACTGGTCCCCCCATTGCCCATTCATTCTAGGCCAGTGGGCAGAGGTCAGCAGGACAGTTTTCATAACTTGGAAGAGGCACAATGCCCTGGAGCTTTGAGGATTTTAAGTTGAATTAAGTCCAGAAGCTCCAGCTACTTACTTTGGTTACCAAGGTGGGATGCGGAAGCTGTACAATGTGGCATAATTTTGGCCTCCGCCCTTTTTTGACAGACTAGCATAAATTTTGAAGGGAACTAGTCTGTCATAATCAGGGGCCTGGACCCAAATCTTACACCTACCTGTATGACTGGGCATGTCAGTAGCAAGAATGTTCTGCTTGGACCCCTTGCAGGTGGAAAGGAGCTGGAGTCCAGGCTCTGTGGGGGCCAAGACTGATTGCCTCACACATTTGGCTGAATCCAGTTGTTATGGAGGTTAACAGGGAGCCAGCTCATTTTCTGGGAGCCCAGCAGATCCATTTTGGACAAAATGACTCTTGCAACTCACCTCTTAGATTCATTTGTTAATTCTCATAATTTCTTCCTCCTTTTTAAAAAAATGTTTATTTATTTGTATTTTATCTGAAAGGCAGAAAGAAGGAGACAGAAAGAGAAATCTTAATTAACTGGTTAACTCCTCAAATGCCAAAACAACCAGGGCTGGGCCAGTCCAAACCCAGGAACCTGGAATTCATCTAGTCTCCCATGTGGGTGTCAGGGATGGAAGTACTTGAGCCATCCTCCGCTGCATCCAGAGTGAGTATTACCAGAAAGCTGGCTCTGAAGGGAAGGTGGAACTCAAACCCAGGCACTCTGATAGGGGATGCAGGAATCCCAGCAGCAGCTTAACATGCTGCACCACAATGCCTGACCATCAGTTCTTTGGTTTTCTATGTACAATTTTGTGTTTGCTTAATGATACATTCTGAGAAAGGTGTCATTAGGTCATTTTGTCATAATGCAAACAACATGTACAGTGCCTGTGATCCAGCAGTTTCTCTTCTGAGAGTCTGCCACAAATACTTGCCCGTGAGTACAAGGAAACAAATAGAAAGGTGTCAGTTCCATTATTTATATCATCAAAATTGAACTAAGCATAATGGTTTCCAGTTGCATCCATTTGGTTGCAAAAGACAGAATTTCATTCTGTTTTTATGGCTGAATAACATTTTCTTTATTCAGTCATCAGTTGATGGACACCTGGGTTGATTCCATATCTTAGTTATGGTCTAATTGAGCTACAATAAACATGGGGACAAAATAACTTTCATATGCTGATTTCATTACATTTGGGTAACATCCTGGAGTAGGATGACTGGGTCATATGATAGATCTATTTACAGATCTTGACGGAGTTACAGGGAGAAAGATGGAGAGACAGTGAACCATCCACTGATTCACTCTCCAAAAGTTGGCAACAGCTGGGGCTGAGCCAGGTCAAAGCCAGGAGCCAGGAGCTTCCTCCAGGTCTCCCACATGGGTGCAGGGACCCAAGCATTTTGGCCATGTTCCGCTGCCTTTTCACGTGCATTCGCAGGGAGCTGGATTGGAAGTGGAGCAGCCAGGACTCAAACCAGTGCACATATGGGATGCCGGCAACACAGGTAGCAGTTTCACCCACTCTGTCACAGAGGCACTCCCACTTTGGCCATTTCTTAGCTGGACTTTTTGTTCTACTGTTGTTGAGTTTCTTGAGTTCTTTACAGATGCTGGATATTAATCCTTTGTCAGTTGTATAGTTTGCAAATACTGTCTTCCATTCTGTCAGTTGCTCTTCACTTTGTTGAGTTTTCATCGCAGTGCAGAAGCTTCTTAGCTTGATGCAATCACAGTTGTCTGTTTTTTTCTTTATTGCCTATGCTTCCTGGGTTTTCTTCCAAGAAGAAAACTGCCTATGCCACTGTCCTGCAGAATTTCCCCAATGTGTTCCTTCAGTAATTTGATGGCACCGGGTCATAGATTTAGATCGTTGACCCATTCAGAGTTGATTTTTATATAAGGTATAAGGTATGGCTAGTATGGACATTTTGATGATGTCAGTTCTTCCAATTCATGGACAGCAAAGATTTTTAGAATGTTTTGGTGTCATCTTCTATTTCTTTCTTTAGTGTTTTGTAATTTTCATTGTAGAGATCTTTTACATCCTTGGATAAATTTATTCCAAGGTATTTAAAATTTTTTGTAGGTATTGCAAATGGTACTGATCTAACTAGTTCTTTCTCAGCCCTAGTGTTTTTTGCATATGCAAAGGTTATTGATTTTTGTGTGCTGATTTTATATCCTGCAATGTTACTAAACTCTCTTAAGAGTTTCAATAGTCTCTTAGTGAAATCTTTGGCTTCCCCTATATATAGGATCATGTCATTTGCAAACAGGGATAATTTACTTCCCCCTTTCAATTTTGTATCCCTTTGATTTCTTTTTCTTGCCTAATGGCTCTGGCTAAAACTTCCAGAACCATATTGAATAGCAGTGATGAAAGTGGGCATCCTTGTCCAGTTCCAGCTCTTAGTGGAAATGCTTCCATCTTTACCCCATTCAATATGATGCTGGCTGTGGGTTTGTCATATAACACCTTCATTGTGTTGAGGCATGTTCCTTCTATATCCAATATGCTTAAGGTTCTTATCATGAAACGATGTATTTTATCAGATGCTTTCTTGTATCTGTTGAGATAATCTTACGGTTTTTATTCTTCAATTTGTTAATATGAGGTATCACATTCATTGATTTGCATATGCTGAACCATTCCTGCATACCAGGGATAAATCCCTTTTGGACTGGGAGAGCGAGCTTTCTCATGTATTGTTGTATTAGATTAGCTATTATTTTGTTAGGGATTTTTTTTATCTATGTTCATCAGGGATATTGGTCTATAGTTGTCTTTCTTTGTTGTATCTTTTTCTGGTTTTGAAATTAAGGTGATGCTGTCCTCGCAGAAGGAGTTTGGGAGGATTCCCTCCCTTTGCATTGTTTTAAATAGATTGGGAAGAATTGGAATTAGTTCTTTTTTTGATTAATTTTTTGAAAGGCAAAGTTACAGAGAAGCAGAGGCAGAGAGAGATGTCTTCCATCTTCTTATTCAATCCCCAAATGGCTGCAACAGCCAGAGCTGGGCTGATCCAAAGCCAGGAGCCAGGAGCTTCCAGTGGTCTCCTCCATGGGTACAGGGGCCCAAGGACTTAGGCTACCCTCTACTGCTTTCCTAGGCCATAGCAGAGAGCTGGATCAGAAGTAGAACAGCAGAACTCAAATCAGTACCCATATGGGATCCCGGCACTGCAGGTGGCAGCTTTGCCTGCTATACCACAGCGCCGGCCCCTAAGCTTCCCTCTTAACACTGCTTTTGCCATATCCCGTAAGTTTTGATACATTGTGTTGTCATCTTCATTCATTTCCAGGAATTTTTTATTTCCCTTTTGATTTCTTCTGTGACTCACTATTCATTCAGGAGCGTGTTGTTTAATCTACATGTGTTTGCATATTTTCTAGAGTTTCTTAAATTGTCAGTTTCCAGCTTCATTTCACTGTGGTCAGAAAAGATATGTAGTATGATTGCAGTGGTTTTTAATTTGGTGAGACTTGCCTTATGGTCTAGCATACGATCTATCCCAGGGAAAGTTCTAGCACTGATGAAAAGAATGTTTTTTTCTGCAACTGTTGGATGAAATGTTCTGTAGTTATCAATTAAGTCCACTTGGTCCATAGTGCAGACTAGCTCTGTTGTTCCTTTGTTTATTTTCTGTCTAGTTGATCTGTCCATTGATGAAAGTGAGGTGTTGTCCCCTCTGTTATTGTATTGGAGTCTGTGCTGCCTTTTAGATCCATTAACATTTGTTGTAAATAGCCAGGTGCTCTGGTATTGGGTGCATGTACATTTACTATTGTGACAACACCCTGTAGAATTGATCTCTTAAACATTACTACTATGGCCTTGGAAAGCAGTGGAAGATAGCCCAAGTCCTGGGGCCCCTGCACCCATGTGGGAGACCCAGAAGAAGCTCCTGGCTCCTGGCTCCTGGCTGGTGCAGCTCTGGCCATTGCAGCCATTTGGGGAGTGACTCAGCAGATGGAAGACCTCTCCTTCTCTCTCTCTGTCTCTGTCTCTGTCTCTCTGCCTCTCCTCTCTCTGTGTAACTCTGACTTTCAAATAAATAAATCTTTAAAAAAAATGATAAAAGTCTTAGGATCATGTTACAAGATGCAGAAAGAGCATTCAATAAAACTTCAACATCCATTCATGATAAAAACTGAAAAAGTATATGTTGAGTGGGTGTTAGACACAGAGGTTAAGTTGCTGCTTGGGATGCCTGCATCCCATATCAGAGTGCCTCCGTAGGCAGAGGATTAACCAAGTGAGCCACGGTGCTGGCCCCTCAAATAAAATTTTAACAATTTTAAATTATATAGAAGAAGCATTCCTCAACATAATAAATGATGTGTATAACAGACTGACAGCCAACATTATGCTGAAAGGTTAAAGGCTGAAAGCATTCCCTGTAAGATTTGACAACAGAGAAGGCTGTCCACCCCACCACTCTGAGTAGTAAAGTACTGGAAGTTTTAGCAGAGCTGTTAGGTCCAAGAAGGAAGTAAGAGACCTTCAGACAGGACAGGAGGACGGTAGGTTATCGCTTTGTGCAGGTGACATGATTCTACAGAGAAACCTGAAGTCCCCACATGGAAACTATTAGCACTGATGAACTAACTGAGCAGAGATGCAGGATGCAAGATCAACCCACAGAAATCACTCAGGTTGTTCTACACCAATACCAAACTCACTCAGAAATTTTACGAGCAGTCCTACTCACTATAGCTATAACAAATTACCTTGCAGCAAATTTAACCAGGAGTATGAAAGACCTCTCCAATGGAAATTACAAAACACTGTTGAAACTGAAGAAGACTTAAAGGAGAAAAGTTCTGATGTTTACAGACCATAAGAACCCATATTATTAAATTAAAAGTCCATGTTGAGGCTGGCGCCGTGGCTCATTTGGTTAATCTTCCGCCTGCATCCCATATGGGTGCCAGGTTCTAGTCCTGGTTGCTCCTCTTCCAGTCCAGCTCTCTGTTGTGGCCCGGGAAGGCAGTGGAGGTTGGCCCAAGTGCTTGGGCCCCTGCACCTGCATGGGAGACTAGGAGGAAACACCTGGCTCCTGGCTTCGGATTGGCACAGCGCCGGCCGTGGTGGCTATGTAAGGGGTGAACCCACGGAAGGAAGACCTTTCTCTGTCTCTGTCTCTCACTGTCTACCTCTGCCTGTCAAATGATAAAAAAAAAAAAGCCCATGTTACCCACAATGACTGACAGATTCAGTGCAATCCCCACAATGTACCAATGGCATTTTTCTCAGAATTAGGAAAAATAGTTCCAAAATTCTTATGGAACAAGGTGCTGGATAGCCAAAGAAGTCTTGAATAAAAGTTGTAGGCATCACAATACCCAATTTGGAGACAAACAACAGATTTCTTAAAACCAGAACAACATGATACTGGCATAAAAGCAGACACAGAGACCAATGGAACAGGATAAAGATGCCAGAAATTAGCCCACATGTCTACAGCTGACTCTTGACAAAGTCACTAAAAAAGCAGATGCTATGGAAAGGAGAGTTTCTCCAGTAACTAACGGTGATGTAACTGGATACCAACATGCAGGAGTGACACATCCCCACCTCCCAGTGCACAGGAGGATCAACTCAAAATGAATCAAAGACCTAACTCTGAGAATTGGAACTGAAATTATTAGAAGAAAATACAGGATAAATACTTCAAGATGTTGCCATAGTCAACAAGTTTTTTGGATAAGACCCCAAAACACAAATAGCAGTAGCAAAGCTAGATAGATGGAATTAAACTAAGAAGCTTCTGCACAGTAAGAGACAAATTAACAGAGTGAAGAGATAACTGATAAGAGTAGGAGAAAATATTTTCAAACTATGCATCTGATTATCAGTTCACCAAATATAAAGGATTTCACACAACAATAGAGCAGACAGTCCAATGAAGAAATGATAAAAAATTTGAATAGATTTTTTCAGAAGAAATACAAATGGCCAGCGTATAATACATGAAAAAAAATGTTGCATATCATTAGCTGTCAGGAAGATGCAAATCAAACCCCAGTGAGGTATCCTCTCACCCCAGTTAGAATGGCTTTTGTCCAAAAGGCAAAATTGGCAAATATGGAGAAAAGAGAACCCTTATGTGCTGTTGTTAGAATTGTGAATTATTTTGGCAGTTGTAGAGAACAGAGTGGCGGTTCTGGGAACAAAGAGTTGGAGGGGAGATAGGGAGAGAGGAGGAGAGAGGCTGGGAGGGAGGGACGGGAAGAAAAGAGGAAAGGAAGAGAGAAAGGAAAAACGAAAGAAAAAATTCTACCATATAAGGTAACACTTCTAGGTATAGATCCAAAGGAAATGAAATCGGCATGTGAGAGGGATCCCTGCACCCACATGTTCATTGCAGCACTATTCCCAGTAGTGGAGACTGGAGCCCACCTGGATGTGCATCAGGGACTGAATGGGTAAAGAGAATGTGCTCTACCCAGTCAGTGGACTATTACTCAGCCATGCAAGGAATGCTGTCCTCGCAGCAGAATGGATGGAACTGAGGAGCGTGTGAAGTTAAATAACCAGGCGCAGATAGATAAAAGCTGTATATTCTTATATGTGGAAGTGAAAAAAATCTGAAATTAGATAGTGATTACTAGAGGTTGGGAAAGGGAGGGAGAGAGGCTGGAGGGAGGTTGTGTACCAGACATCGACTGAGTCACCTAGACGCCCCAGTGTCCCCGAGCAGTTGCGCAGCTGTAGTACGCTACAGTGTTTTATGTACTGTGTGAAGACCTGAAGAGGCATCTGGTAGACTGCAGACATTGGTTCATTTGGTTCCACTGTGTATACGTGCTGAAACATTGCACTGTACCCCTTCAAATGGGTGAGTATTACACATGAAACATTTAAAAAATAATTTAAAAATGCATGAAAATGGATTTAAATGGGAAGTTTATTTTGGTGCAAAAAATTAAAAATCTCTGCATAGTTTTCTTTTTAATAGTAAGTATTTTCCGTGGCTGTTTTGAGGACTCCCACTATGCATGTATTTCATAGCTTTTTGCACCAAGTAAACTTACATTTTAATTTCATTTTCCCACAGACTTTGTGAAGTACCTTTGTGTAAGGTTTTTCAGAGTTGCTCTATGTTGACTGCTCTTAAGTGCTGTGCATATCCATATGAATTTTAGGATCAGGTTAGAATTTCTACAACAAAAAACCTGATGGCATTTTGTAAGAATTGCAGTGAATAGAATAATTTGTCTCTTTTGAGTAAGTGAATTTGGAAGAGTTGCCATCTTGATAATATTGGATCTTCCAGTGTGTGAACAGACTAATTCTTCATTTAATCAGATTTCTTAGAAGGATTTTGTGATTTCACAGTAAGAGTCTTGTGTTCTTTTATTACATTTTTTACATTTTATTACATTTATGTATTCTTATGCTATTACTAAATTTTGTTTTGGGGGTTTATTGCGTTATATATATATAAATATATTGTGTTCATATATATATGTGTGTGTGTGTGTGTGTGTGTGTATACACTTGCACAGAGTCTCAATATCAAGCGTAAGTGAGATTGTGGCTTTGTTGGTTCTTTGCTGGGCATTTGATCATCCCTCCACACGTGACTCCTGGATCCTCTGAAGTACCAACAGGAACTTTCAAAGCCCTGACATGCGACTCATTCCCCAGATTCTCCTTCTAAGGATTGTTGCCAGTCTCTTGGTTGCCTCATCTAGAATTGCTACTTCTGGCAGCTGCAGTATTAACCACTTGCCACTGTTGGTTTTGGACAAACTCCGTGAGAATAAGACTTTCCTCACTAAATAAGCTCTAAATCGGGTGAAGTCAGGATTAGCCTTTGAGTGAGGCTTCTCTAGGGCCACTGGGCAGTGAGATAGTGGCAGTTCTGTGAGGATGAGCCTGCCTCCTCTGGCGGCTGCTAGGATGCCAGTCCTCACGGCTGCTCTGGTTCTGTAGTGCTGCTTTCTCAGCTCCTAAGGAACAGGGAAGAAGGGGGATGGAAACTGGGACTGGGGCAAGTTAAAATACCAGAAAATTCACCAAGATTTAATAATACTCCTTAGATTGTTGCATGTCTGGTTAATTTCTAGAGTTCTGATAAAGTTTATAGTGATCCGTTTTCTCATTATTATAATGTTTTGAGAAGTGGATTTTCAGTTACTTCATCCACCCTTCCGGAAGTCCTCCTGGATCTCTGTGCTTTTAGCCATCATGCATATATCGCCTGTCTGAATAATGACCTTTGTGTATTTATTGGCAGCCATGAAAGCCCACTCTTTGATTTCATTGAAAGCTGCTTGAGAAATAAACATGAAATGGTTATATATGAAGCTGCTTCTGCCATCATCCATCTCCCTAACTGTACTGCCAGAGAGTTGGCACCTGCTGTTTCAGGTGAGGTGTATGTTGGATCAGTGGCTTTTGCTTTTGTCTTAAGTTCTGTGGATCTGCATAGTAGATATCAAGAATGACTTTTGAACCTCAGATCTGTGTGTATATGTAGCCTTTGGGTTCTAGTAGCTTATATACATTATAGATAATTTGAGTTGTTCTTTATTCTTTTTCTGAAATTTGTATTCCCAATATAATACTGTTGAAACAATTTTACATAGATGACAGATACCATTAATGTGTTCGGTTTTTGGGTTTTTGTTAATGTTTAGAAAGTCCATTTGTGCTTACAACTACCAATATTTCTACCATTTGAATTCACATATTAAGAGATGTCTAATTATTTTACAACAAAAAGCCATTCTTCTATTTTTTGATGATGTGTTTTCATGTGAATTTTTGATACTATGATCTAATTTCCCTTTGCATATTTTGAATATAATTCATGAAATATTTGTTTTTAGTCATGTGATGTGTGATAAAATGAGCAATAAACAGTGGTTTTCTTTGTTTGCCTTAGTTCTTCAGCTTTTCTGTAGCTCTCCTAAGCCGGCCTTGAGATACGCAGCTGTGAGGACCTTGAATAAAGTAAGTGTCCCATTGCTAGGTGCTGACTTGTATCTGTGTTTGATTGAGACACACCAAGTGAGAAGTGCTGGGCTTGTTCCTCAAGGTTAGTGCCTGTGGCTTACGGCTGTACTTCTGTGATACTTCATTTGTGTGTTACCTGAAATTCGGCAATTTTTTATTATACAGCTGAAATTATAATTCACTTCTGGCCTCTGAGTATTTTATATTCAAAAGCCATGCCAGTGGTAGCTGTTAGCCCCAAGAGATTTTGAATTTCAATTAATTAAAATTAAAAATCCAGGTCCTCAGTCTCCTAGTCACATTTCCTGTGCTCATAGCCACATGTGGCTCTTGTGTTGGACAGTGCAGCTTTTGGAAATGTCTATCAATCATTCACCTATAATGTTGGAGCCAGATAAATCCCACAGTTCATTTTTTATGAATTTTAGAAAGATGATATGGTGCTATTATATTTGAACCTGAATTAGTACCCCCACATTTCAGATACATTTTACCCCTAAATCATTTGACTGTTCTTGCTAAGTGAGAAATACTAAGACTTAATGTACTTTTACACTAGTTTAGGTTGTGTTTTGCTGTTAAATGAATTTTGCCACCAGTACTTTTCAGAGTGTTTTCAAACGTTCAGAATTATGAGAGGAGATTCTGAGTCAATAGTGGAACAACATCAACAAAAGAAGGAGGCAAGAGAGTGACAGACATAGTTTACTGACTACAGATAGTCCAGTTTTGCTGGTTTAAGTATGGATAAGATACTAACAGTCTCTGTTGAGCAGTGTTTACCAAACTCGATCCTGTTCCCAGAGATCCTAATATATAGTAGAGTAGACATACATGGACGCATGTACGGTAAGAAACACAGTCCAGATTTAATAAAGACAGGCTGTGATATAGTCCTGTGCTATACCATGGCTGTTACTCATTTAACAGTTGATTTATCATACCTTATTAATTGGAAATGCTTTTTACCTATCTGTCCCCTTTGGATTGCCACTGACCTTAATTAAAATTTGAGTGCTGACCTTTATCCACAGCAATTTGCTTATTCTCTGTTTTTCTTGCCCTTCCACAAGGTGGCAATGAAGCACCCTTCTGCAGTTACTGCCTGCAATCTGGACTTAGAAAACTTGATCACAGACTCCAACAGGAGCATTGCTACCCTAGCCATTACCACACTGCTCAAAACAGGGAGTGAGAGCAGTGTGGACAGGCTCATGAAGCAGATCTCTTCTTTTGTGTCTGAAATTTCAGATGAATTCAAGGTAATAGTTTAAATACAATTATGCTTTCCCCCAGTCTGTGGCTTACTCATTTCTTTTGCTAACAGTGTCTTTTGAGGTGCAGACATTTTTGATTTTTCGAAGTCTAATTTGTCAGTTTTTTTCTTTGACATTTGTTAAAAATTGTCCCTTCTAAATAGTGTTTACCTCCATTTCATAAATATTCTCTCATGTTTTATTCTAAATACTGTATGAGTTTAGCTTTTACATTTTGGTTTATATTACAACCTAGTGTGTTTTTCCAGTATGTTGGCGTCTTTGTCTGAAAAGCAACTAACCATACACCGTCAGTATATTTCTGGCCTATTTATCATGTTCCACTCATCTGATTGTCACTCCAATGTTCGTACCACACTGTACTGATTGATGTAGCTTTATGAAACTTTTTAAATCTCTAGTATGTTCTTCCAAGTTTGTTTTTTTCATTTTTTTTAAAAGATTTATTTTTTTATTTATTTGAAAGGCAGAGTTAGGAGGAGAGACAGAGATACAGATAGAGATAGAGAGAGAGAGAAACCTTCCATCCTTAGAGAGAGAGAGAGAGAGAGAAATCTTCCATCCTTTGATTCACTCCCCAAATGGCCGCAATGACTGGGGATAGACCAGGATGAAGCCAGGAGTCCAAAGCTTCTTCCAGGTCTCCTTTGTGAGTGCAGGGGCCCAAAGACTTGGACCATCATTTGCTACTGTTCTAGGTGCGTTAGCAGGGAACTGGATCAGAAGTGGAGCAGTTGTGTCTTTAACCAGCACCCATGTAGGATGCCAACATCACAGGCAGATGCTTAACCTGCTATGCCACAGTGCTGGTCCCATATTTTTTCATGTTTTAGTTCCTTTGCATTTTCATAGAACCTTTGGAACCAGCTTATCAATTTCTATGAAATGCAGCCTGCTAGGATTATGACCAGGATTGTGCTAAATCTGTAAATCAGTTGGGACAGAACTGATGTATAACAAAATTAATTCTTCTAGTCCATGAATATGGTATATCTTTCTCTTTAGGTCATCTTTAATTTTTCTGAGGAGGTTTTTGTAGTAATTACAAGTCTTACATGTGTTTTGTTAAGTTTATTTCTAAGTATTTTAGGCTTTTTAGATATCATTTCATTAAAATTTCTACTTTTTTGTTTATTGCTAGTGTCTAACAGGCACTTTTTAAAGCTTTCTATGCTAACTTGATGTGACCTTTGACTTTGCTGAGTTCCCTTATTTGGAACTAGTAGTTGTAACATGTATCCCTTGGGATTGTTTATATAAATAATCCTGTCATTTGTGAATAGAGGCACTTCTTTATTTCCAATCCAGTTGTCTCTCCCTTCTTTTTCTTGCCTTATTAAAATAGCTAGTATTTAAAATACAATGTTGACCAGAACTAGTAAGAGTTTGTTAGAGATGATCATAAAAATGATGTTAAAATGTGTGAATGTCATGTTGAGTGTGTTGCAGGAAATTATGCCTTGATAGCATTCATATAACTACTACAAAGTAAGCAAAACTGAACAATTGGGGGTATATATTAAACTGAAGAAAAGGTAACTGGTAAACCGGGCCAGGAGAGTGATCCTCTCTGAGAAGGAAGTAGTGGGATGTGATCAGGAGCATGCAGAACTTTCAGGAGGCAGAAGCACTCTTTTGTAAAAGCTGTGTGATAGGGGCTGGTGCCAGGGCTCACTTGGCTAATCCGCCGCCTGCAGTGCCGGCGTCCCATATGGGCGCCGGGTTCTAGTCCCAGTTGCTCCTCTTCCAGTCCAGCTCTCTGCTGTGGCCCTTCTTGAGCCCCTGCACCCACATGGGGAGACCAGGAAGAAGCACCTGGCTCCTGCACCTGGATCGGCGCAGTGCACCAGCCGTTGCAACCATTTGTGGGGGTGAACCAACAGAAGGAAGACTTTTCTCTCTGTCTCTCTCTCTCACTGTCTATAACTCTACTTGTCAAATAATAATAAAAAAAAAAGCTCTGTGGTAAATGCACATGTGTTTCTTTATGTAATCATATATTAAATATATAAAAGTATTGATGTATCATAAAAAAGTGGGAGAAAAACCATTGCAATTGTTAAACTAAACTTTTCTACACTTGACAGTAGCTCTTCCTATATGACTAATTGGTCTCTCTCTCTTTTTTTTTTTTTTTTTGAAAGATTTATTTATTTATTTATTTGAACGGTGGAGTGAGTGAGAGAGAGAGAGAATCTTCCATCCACTGGTTCACTCCTCAAATAGCCAGATCTCCCACATGGGTGCAGGAGTCCAAGTACTTGGGCCGTCCTCCACTGCTTTCCCAGGCACATTTAGCAGGGATCTGGATCAGACGCACTGGTGCTTTGATGTGGTATATCAGCACCTTAACTCACTGTGCCACAATAGTGGTTCTTTGTCTAGTTTTTAACCCTATAAAATAAATCCACCAAATTGCAACAAACCATTTGTTTGCAAACAAACTATTGAATGTCATTTGTACTTTATCCAACTCATTTTCTATGACTATATGGAGGTTTTTTTTTTTTTTAAGATTTTTATTGTATTTATTTGAGAGGTAGAGTTACAGTGAGAGGGGAAGACAAAGAGAAAGGTCTTCCCTGTGTTGGTTCATTCCCCAGATGGCTGCCAATGGCTGGAGCTTTGCCGATCCGAAGCCAGGAGCCAGGTCCTTCCTTCGGTCTCCCATGCGGGTGCAGGGCCCAAGCACTTGGGCCATCCTCCACTGCCCTCCCGGGTCACAGCAGAGAGCTGGACTGGAAGAGGAGCAACTGGGACTAGGACAGGCGCCCGTATGGGATGCCGGTGCCACAGGAGGAGGATTAACCTACTGCACCGCTACGCCAGCCCCTATATGGAGTTTTATTATTCATAATGGTTGGGGTCCAGTACTGTGGTGTGGCAGGTAAAGACGCCGCCTGCAACACTGACATCCCATATGGCCAATGGTTCAAGCCCCAGCTGCTCTACCTCTGATCCAGCTCCCTGCTAATGCACCTGAAAAAGCAGCAGAAAATGGCTCAAGTGCTTGAGCTCCTGCACCCATGATGGAGACGCAGGTGAAGCTCCTGGCTCCTGGCTTTGAACTTGTCTACCTCTGGCCATTGTGGCCATTTGGGGAGTGAGCCAGCAATTGGAAGGTATCTCTCTCTGTGTGTCTCTCTCTTCCTCTCTGTAATTCTGCCTTTCAAATAAATAAATAAATAAATAAATCTTAAAGCCAAAACAAAGTGGTTGATTACCCCCAATATCAGTTTCATTAGGCTTCATTGGATATGCTGCTACCTCCAGCCCTCTCTCTATATTTTTCATTTTGATTTGTTAATATTATTTGAAAGGCAGAGAGATAGATGGAAATAGATCTTCATCCACTGATTCATACCCCAGATGCCCACAACATCCAGGGCTGGTGCAGGCAAAACCCAGGAGCCTGGAATGCAATCTGGGTTTCTCGTGTCGGGGCAGGAACTCAGGAACTTGAGCCATCTTCCGCTGCCTCCCAGGGTAACCATCAGCAAGAAACTGCAGTGAAGAGGATATCTATCTGGGGCTCAAGACAGGCACACCCATACAGGATGCATACTGCTGCACCACACCACAGCGCCCCCTACTGTATGTTTCAAAAATATACTCCCCCCCTTTTTTTTTAAACTTTTATTTAGTAAATATAAATTTCCAAAGTACAGTTTATGGATTACAATGGCTTTTCCCCCCAATAACTTCCCTCCCACCCGCAACCCTCCCATCTCCCACTCCCTCTCCCATTCCATTCGCATCAAGATTCATTTTCAATTATCTTTATATGCAGAAGATCAATTTAGTATAAATTAAGTGAAAATGTCAACAGTTTGCACCCACATAGAAACACAAAGTGTAAAGTACTGTTTGAATACTAGTTATAGCATTAAATCACATTGTACAACACATTAAGGACAGAGATCCTACATGAGGAGTAAGTGCACAGTGACTCCTGCTGTTGACTTAACAAATTGACACTCTTGTTTTTGGCATCAGTAATCCCCCTAAGCTCTTGTCATGAGTTGCCAAGGCTATGGAATCCTTTTGAGTTCGCCGACTCCAATCTTATTTAGACAAGGTCATAGTCAAAATGGAAGTCCTCTCTTCCCTTCAGAGAAAGGTACCTCCTTCTCTGATGGCCCGTTCTTTCCACTGGGATCTCACTTGCAGAGATCTTTCATTGAGGGTTTTTTCCCCCCCCAGAGTGTCTTGGCTTTCCATGCCTAAAATACTCTCATGGGCTCTTCAGCCATATCCGAATGCCTTAATGGCTGATTCTGAGGCCAGACTGCTATTTAGGACATCTGCCATTCTATGAGTCTGCTGTGTATCCCACTTCCCATGTTGGATCGTTTTCTCCTTCTTAATTCTATCAGATAGTATTAGCAGACACTGGTCTTGTTTATGTGATCTCTTTGACCTATCATTGTGATCAATTGTGAACTGAAATTGATCACTTGGACTAGTGAGATGGCATTGGTACATGCTGCTTTGATGGGACTGAATTGGAATTCCCTGGCACGTTTCTAACTCTACCATTTGGGGCAAGTCAGATTGAGCATGTGCCAAACTGTACATCTCCTCCCTCTCTTATTCCCACTCGTACATTTAACAGAGATCACTTTTCAGTTAAATTTAAACACCTAAGAATAATTGTGTGTTAATTACAGAGTTCAACCAATAGTATTAAGTATGACAAAAAAAAAATACTAAAAGGGATAAAGCATTAAGTTGTTCATCAACAGTCAGAACAAGGGCTGATCAAGTCACTGTTTCTCATAGTGTCCACTACTTCCTTCTAAAAACTTTATGCAAACATACACGATTGTTTAGGAAGGAAATAAAGAAGGGAAATGGATATTTTGGGGATGCAGACTTGAGGAGTCAGGGTGCATCCTGAATTTTGAGATACATCAAATAGCACCAAAACTTTTTAAAATAAACCAACTTACTGTAGGGTCTGTTTAAAACTTTGTTTACTTGTT